CATGATGGGGAACGTATGGCACGTGTACTACAGGTGGCACGCAGAGCCCTCCTCTGCGGGCAAACGAGCCCTCGTCCCAGTTGAGCTCCACTGCGCATGCACACGGGTCTCCCGCCAGCCAGCTGGTTTTTCAGTCTTTGTGCAGGAGGTGGGATGCATGCAGGAGTCACACATGCATATGTGGAGAGAACATGGGAGGTTGTGCTGCATGCATGCGTGTGGGTGGGGGAGCACAAGGGGTTGTGTGCGCATGCACAGATCAGGGCGCATGGGGAGGTCACACATGCATTATGGGTGTGCGTGAGACAAAAAGGTTAGCCAATACAATACGTTGTCCTTGATATACTTGTTTAACACATTCTTACACTGCTTCAAAATTTGCTGTGTCTGATTCTCCAGTGAAGTGTCAGCTTGAAATATGACAAGACATAAGCATCATCTAACACAGTGTTTTTCAACCTTTTTTGTGCAAAGGCACACTTTTTTCATGAAAAAAATCACGAGGCACACCACCATTAGAAAATGTTAAAAAATTTAACTCTGTGCCTATATTGACTATAGGCAGGTGTTTTTCCCACGGCACACCTTACACTATGTCATGGCACACTAGTGTGCCACGGCACAGTGGTTGAAAAACACTGCTATAGATGACTCGTGGGGCCACAGAAAACCCCACCACCCTTGTTACTTCGCCCTGGGTGCTTCAGATGGTATTCTGTGGGTCCATCAGAAAGTCTGAAGGATACAGAGAATGGCACTCTTGGAGTCAGACTTCCACCACCACACCCAAAGGAATATAAAATATCAGAGCAATATCACACATTAATGGAGAAGTGGAAATAGAAGAAGAAAAAGACGGACTCTCTTAGCTCCTCTGAGACTAAATAGCTTTATTCTTTCTTTTCCCTGGCCTGGGAATATCTAATCACCAGATTGTTGCAGTTAATAAGATCCTTATCATAGCACTGAGATTCGAACTGCCAAACTGCAGCTAGCAGTCAGCTGAAGTAGCCTGCAGTGCTGCACTCGTTAACCACTGGGTCACCTCGGCTCTACAGCTAGTCTTCAACTTACAACTTACAACTACTTGTTTAGCGACCATATGAAGTGACAACGGCACCAGAAAACCTTATGGCTGTTTTTCACAGGAGCATTGCAGCATCCCATAGTCACATGATCACAATTCAGACACTTGGCAACTGGGATGTATTCATGACAGTGTGCCGACTCCTAGGGTCGTGTGGTCCCCTTTTGCGACCTTCCGACAAGCAAAGTCAATGGGGAAGCCAGATTCATTTAACAACCATCTTACTCACTTAACAACTGCAGGGGTTCAATTAACAACTGCAGCAAGAAAGGCCGTAAAATGGGGCAAAACTCAAGTTGCTTAGCAACATATGTTTTGGGTTCAATTGTTGTCGTAAGTCAAGGACTGCCTGTACCTTACACTGACTGTCTTCATACTCCATGACAGGGTGTCAAACTCGATTTCAATGAGGGACACATCAGAGTTGTGTTTGACCTCGGAGGGCTGGGGGGGGGGGCATGGCCAGCTTGAAGTCACTCGTGTTGGGGGCACCTGTGGTGGCCAAGTGCTAAGGCAGGACTTCTCTGAGATCTTCACCTCATTCTCATTATAATCTTCCTTCCTTCCTTCCTTCCTTCCTTCCTTCCTTCCTTCCTTCCTTCCTTCCTTCTCTTCTTCCTTCCCCTCTTTCCTTATTTTTCCCTCCTTGCTCCCTCCCCATCTTTCCTTCTTTTTCTTTGTCTTTCCTCTTTCCCTTTCTCCTTTCCTGTCCCTTCTTGCATGCTCAAATGCAAAAGGGGAAACATTTCTCCTCTTGATTCTCTATGAGAGTCTAACTAAAAACAATGCCAGGAATCTAAACTTTTTACTCCTCCAAACAAATCAGGAAGCAAAGCTTTAAACCTCCCTTCGTTTCCAGGCTCCGTCAATTCATCTCATTAACATCTTCCAAGCCTTGCAAAAGATCCATCGCTCCTGATCTTGTTGTATTTGTATTTATTAGCTTGTCAAACGTGTACAAGGTAGCAGGTATAAATATAAACATGGCTATAAATGAAAGAAATGAATACAAATAGATGGGGACAGTAGGACAGTGAGTCTCCCCTAACTCACCTGAACCGTTCTTGGCCCGCAGTATCCCAAAACTGCAGCTTGACACGCAGGTTGGGCTCCATCTCCAGAAAGTGGACAAAAAAGTCCACCCCCACCGTTTGATTCATGGACTCCGTAAAGACCCCATCGGCATAGCGCTTCAGAAGACATGATTTCCCCACCGTGGAATCGCCCAGCATGATGATCCGGAACTGATAGTCCCACGGAGAATCCACAGCCATGGGGAGGCTGGAAGAGAGAGTGAGAGAAGCTCCTGGAAGCTGCTACCTCTCGTGTCCCTGTGTGGGTCAGTGGGCGTGCAATTTGTGCAGGCACTGGCGGAGCGGAGCAAAAAGGCTCATGCCAACTCAAAATAAACAGGGACACGCTCCGATCCGGTGTTCAACTTGGAATGGCAAGCAGTGGGAAAAGCTGAGTTTTAACCCAGGTAGGAAACTGGCTGAGACTTGTTTTGAGTTTAGCACAGGTAGTTACTCTCCCTTCGACTCGCCTGAGGCTGTGTGTGGCTCTCTTATTCCATGTTTGGGCAGGCAGGCTGCTCCTAAGGGAGGGTCAGGATGTGCACGCTCTCCTTTTCCTGCTCCTCCCTGAAAAAGGGGCCGTGCTTCTCCAAGGCCAAGCCAGGCTACGAGAGAACACATGTCACCTACATTCCAGCCTTCAACCAGGTTTCTCTTCCTTGGGGGAGGAATGAGCATCAAAGTTGCTTTCTAAGGCAGGAGAGGAAACAAAACGCCTCCACAAACTAAGAGGACAATGTTGTGCAAATGCAGCCAAAGTGTGTACACACCCAACACCATGTAGTTGAACAATAATTTGCACAATAACAGGCTAGGCCAGGGGTGTCAAACGTGATTTCATTGAGTGCCGCATCAGGCTTGTGTTTGACCTCGGGGGGTGGGGGTGGCCAGCTTGACGTCATTCGTATCGGGGGCGCCTGTGGTAGCCCAAGGGATCTGCCAGAGAAAAATGGGCTCCCAAGCTCCGTTTTCGGCTGCCACGGCTTCCTGCAACCCTCTGCCAGTGAAAACAGAGCTCGAGACGGCCGTGGAGGGTTGCAGGAGGCCATCAGAGCCAAAAACTGAGCTCGGGAGCCCAGTTTCACTGGCAGAAGCACCGTGGGCCACTCCATCACTGTATCCAGGGCAGCCCCGTAGGCCAGATCTAAGTACCCCACGGGCTGGTTCTGGCCCCCGGGCCTTGTGTTTGACACCCCTGTGCTGGGCTAACATGCGGTTGCCTAATCAATAGGCAATTCTGTCTATGTGCTGATGCACATGTATCAGAGGTGGTATTCAGCACACACGCATGCTCCAGTTCTAGCACTCTGTGTTGAAAAGGTTAAGCATCACTGAGCTAGGAAGTAGGCATGGTGCCCAGCTAGAAAAGGATACCTAACCAATGTTGAGAAAGAAAGAAAGAAAGAAAGAAAGAAAGAAAGAAAGAAAGAAAGAAAGAAAGAAAGAAAGAGGGAGGAAGGGAGAGAGAGAGAAAAGAAAGGAAGAAAGAAAGAAAGAAAGAAAGAGCTGGTTCATAATGCTTTGATAGGCCACTAGGAAATCCATCTTCTATGGGCTAAACTGGGAAGGACAAGCAAACCACTCCAAGAAAATGCACTTCCAAATCACATGGGAGCTGTAGGGAGGTGTCCCCAACAGATCACAGGTGGATTTTCAATTCAGGAAGTGATTTTTATTTTACTGTTAAAGTTAGGGCTATTGTTTACCTATCAAACCCAGAGAAAGCATCACTTTTCCTTCAGCAATAGGTAGAACAATGTTTTAAATCCGTTTCCTTCATTTCAAGCATGATACACCAACACGATTAAAAGTTAGAATAAGAGATAGAAACAAGAGAAAAGAAGAATATTAGTGTATACATTTTTATATAATAAGAGAAAATATGGAATAATGACAGATTTTTAGATAAATATGTATTACTATTAGAAATATATGTTGGTTGAAATTAATAACTATGACTAATGCTATTTGTTTTATTAGTATTAGAATGTATGACACCCAGGTGCCACACTTTTCACGCACTGATATATTTGTAAAAGAATAAAAAAATAAAAAACTTTAAAAAAAAAGAATGACATACAAAGAGATCATTTATTGTGCTTTGAGCACTACCCAGCATGGAAAAGTTGGCCAGTGAAGACAATAAACAAAGCCATTCATATTGTCGTTGTTGTTGTTGTTTTAAAAAGGAAGTAAATATTTTTTCATTAAATATTTTCAGGATTTTTAAAAAAAAGTTAAGTTTAAGTTAAGGAGGTGACATGGTGGAAATGAAGACTGTTTCAAAAATGTTTGATAAACACAGACACCAAGGTCTGTGCTGAATAATGGAAACAACCTGTTTCTTCTTCTTCTTCTTCTTCTTCTTCTTCTTCTTCTTCTTCTTCTTCTTCTTCTTCTTCTTCTTCTTCTTCTTCTTCTTCTTCATTTAATGATCCCATAATCCCTTGCAGGATGGAGTCAAGGCAACTGAATGAAGCTAATGGAAAGAACTTGTTTCTAACCCACAAAATCCAGAAGGCGGCTCCACAATGGTGCTAGGATTGATGTGGGTCCACATCCTGACTCAGCAGACATTGCTTAAGCCATCTTAAGCCACCTGAGCACCACTGTCAGAACTGCCATTGTACACGTGAGCTTCCCATTCACCAGCTGCCGGTCTGTCACAAACAACGGGGAGGAGAGAGCTGGATGGGAGGGGGGAAGAACTAACTACTCAGCCTACCTTCTGGAGACAACATCTCAAGGTCAAACCCTGGGAATGGGATGGAATGGAATGGCTCACCAATGTTGATGAGACCGCTCCCAAAACAATTCATTCAAGGGAGGAAGGGAACTGAACGGGCGGCATTAATCGAGGAGTTTTGGTGTGTGAATTTCAGTTCAGGCTTTACTACACTATAAACAGAGGTGGGTTCCTACCAGTTCGCACCTATTCGGTAGAACCGGTTCGTCAAATCCACCGAACCGGTTAGAAGAGGTTCCACCAGTGGACCCGGAAAGCAAGCTACACCTACAGAAGAGGTTCCAAAATTTTTTGAAACCCACCACTGACTATAAACCACTTGGCTTTGAATAAAAGTATATCTTTCACTGCAAATGGAGTTGAGGGTCTTTCTTAACTATAAGATTAAGCCGGGGCAGGTCCGACAACTACATCTGGCTGGCTGGCAATCCTTCCATCTTATCCCTTCCATCTCCCATCAGCCAAGCTAGCGGCT